AATGGCTCAGTATCTTCCTAACTTTCTTTCTTTTTTTTTCAAGTATTTATCAATGATAGAGGAGGTTTAAGTCTTATAGTTTTCATATGCAAATAACTAAATCTACAGTGTTTAGGGTCTTACCAGTGAGGCTGTGTGTGTGTGCATCTGATTGCATTTAGTCTCTTTGACATGTTATTTACCAGTGTGAATCCTAATTACATCTTGTTTCCTGTGATTATCACATAGAGTTATACAGTCAAAATCTGGGAGATGATATGGGAATATATTGTCCAGTTCATATTCCATTTTAGAACTTAGATGTTTTATTTACATCCGTGCTTGTTTTATTTGTCTCTGCCATGAGGCTTTATCCTCTACAGTAGTCCTATGTTACCTTCTTTGACATGAAAACTAACTACTATGTCATAAAATAATAAGTTATATAATTAACCAGTCATGATCACAAAGTATATAATCATGTTTTTCTGAAAATATAAATTTAAGATACATCTGTTTCACTTTTGTTTTCGTTATGGGGGACATTATGGTTTCACTTATGTTGCCTTATAACAAAAAGCTTAAGATTGAAATGTAAATTTATAAAGGTTTTAGAATTCAGATTTTTTTTTTAAATGAAAGAACTAAAATTACTTTTAGCCATTTTGATGCCTGAACATGTAATGTGTTTACTAGTTAGTCAGAGGGAACAGATTTCCCCTGGTGTAGTTATCCCCCGGAGAAAACTATTCTTGTTAAACTCTAAAAGCACACTTTGATCAAATACAAAACGACACCAGATGAGGGAAGCAGCCAGGTGACAGAAAAGGCATTTGATAAATGGGGGTGTGTTTAAAATGTTTTATCTGTACTAAAGCCCCAGATTCATTTCACTGTGTGGCTTTCAACAATTAATGTGACAGATGGCCTCAAACAGCCTTGGAATTCTGATCGTTTGTGAATCTGGCTTCAGAGGCTTGGCAGTGGCTTCGGAAGGTTGTGGTGTCAGCCTGTCGACCAGCTGTTTACACTTTGTTTCCAGAGTGAACCCAAAATAGCCAAGATTGTAAGAGTAATTCTCCAGTCTTGAGGGGGAAGCATCTTGGATGAAATCTTCAATAGCAAAGCAAACCCTGGAGAGACAGAGATGTAGGACTGTGTGTAGTACAGAGGACTCTTTGGCCATACTGTCATCAAAGCTCCTGATCTGAGGAGGTGTTCCTATGTCTGTTTTTTTTCTATGATATAAAGAAATATATTGAGTGATAAATTTGGTGTATGGCAGTTTCGCACTTCGATTGTTTATTTTATTAAGCTTTTAAGAACAGGGACTCACGGCATTTAACTATACAGGGGATCACTCTATAGTTGTACAGGTCTGGGTGGTCTGGAACTCACTAGTTAGGTCACACTTGAAGTTCTATTTCTTTCCCTTCCAAGTACTGTGATTACATGCATGTTCTATCACAAACTTGGTCTTTCCCATTTGTCTTAAATGTAAAAATACCAAAAGCTAATAAAACTTGAAAGAATGTACACTGAATATATTCACAACTAAGTGATTTTAAATTACAAAAATCAGAAGTCTTTCTATATACAAGTGATAAACTCTCTGATGAAGGAAGCAGGGAGAAGTTCATTCACCACCACTTAAAAATTCCCAGGGCTAAAACACCTAGAAGAAGTTAAAGATCTTTACAACGAAAACTTTGAAATAGTAAAGGAGGAAACTGAAGAAGATAGTAGACTATGAAAAGGCATTCTATACTCAGCTAGATAGAATTAGTATTGTAAGAATGGCCACATTACAGAGATCTAAGATTCACTATAACCCCCATCAAAATTTCAATTACATTCTTCACAGAGCTAGAAAAACCAATTTTCGAATTCACATGGAAGCAAAATGTTTATGACCAAAGACTGGTGCTGCTGTCAGCTGCTATGGCAACTGTAGAGGCTCATAACAGGTCAAAATGATGAGACTAAATGATTGTTGAATATTCAGCTACAAGAAAGCATCTGCATGTTCCCCTCAGTGCTCAAGGAACATGGTACAGAAGGGGACCGGAAGAATTTAAGAGCTGGAAGAAGTGATGGAGTGTTAAGGAATGTTGTCCTCTAAGCATGACATGGCTACTGCATGCTTGAGTCACAGCAGCTATGATTATCTGCTGAAGATCGGACCCACCTATATTTTGCCATGGAAGTGGGAGTGCTCTTGAGGCCTCAGCATTCTCTACAAATTTATGTGAAGTTAATGAGTGCAGGAGGAGGGAGAAACATTTTCTTCAGAGGTGTAGCCACTAGAAGGATGCCCATGCTCTTGTAAATGATCCTATATCTGTGTTCCTGTAGGCAACCTCACATAACTTACTGGGTACTCCCAACCCAGAGAAAACCTCTGACATTGACCAACCAACAACAACAAAAAAAACCCAAAACAAAACAAAAATAAAGAGAGAGAGAGAGAGAGAGAGAGAGAGAGAGAGACAGAGAGAGACAGAGAGAGACAGAGACAGGGAGGGAGGGAGAGACAGAGAGACAGAGAGACAGAGAGACAGAGAGACAGAGAGACAGAGAGAGAAAGAAAGAAAGAAGTCCCCAAGGACATGAAAGCAGAACAGGGAGTAATCAGGGAGTAATTGGGAAGAGGAAGAGGATCAGTGAGAATGGGAGGGGACAAAAGAGGGGAACAGGAAGTGTGAGTGATAAACAGCACATTGTATCCATCTATGAAAATGTCAGATTGAAGCCCATTGTTATGTAAGCATGCATAACATATACTGATAAAAGTAGACAAGATTCCTCAATATCCAAAGCAACACAAAGCACTGTTAGAGCTATCATAATTCCTGATGTCAAATTATACTAAAGAGGCGTAGTAACAACATAATCATGGTCCTGGTGCAAAAACAGACATGTAACCACACAGTAGAAAGCAGAACCCAGAAATAAACCCAGACAGCTGTAGCCACCTGTTTTTTTTCTTTTTACAAACGTGTCAAAAATCATATATTGGAAAAGAAACAAGGTCTTCAATAAATGATGCTGAGAACAGTGAATATCAACATATCGAATAGTGAAACTAGAATCCCGTCTTTCACCCTTTACAAAAATCAGCTCCAAATGGATCACAGAGCCTAACAGGTCCTAACAGAGCCTAAAACCTTGAAACTGCCAGTGAAAAATCCAGGCAATGTATTTCAGGATACAGATATGGGAAGGACTCCAACTACACAGGGCAGAGCTGAGAACTGGCAAATATGACTACATGAAGTCAAACAGCTTCTGCAAAGCAAAAGAAACAATCTTCATGGCAAACAGGAACCCTGTGCAAGGGGAGAAGTCTGTTCCAGACATTCATCAGCTAGGAGATGAATGTCTAGAATACACAGAGAGCTACAAAAATCAAACACTAGCGCTCCTACAAATCATCCAAGTTGAGAAATGGGCTAATAAAATGAACTGACAGCTCTCAAAAGAGGAAACAGAAGTGGGTATAAGCATTTGAAAATGTGTTCAATATTCTTAGCCACTAGGGAAAGCACATTATAACTACTTTGAGATTGCATTTCATCTCTAGAATAAACAAAAAATGCTGCTGAGGATGGGGGGAACGGAGCTCCTTAGACATGGCTGGTGGACGTGTAACCGGCTACAATTACTGTGGAAGTCAGTGTGGAGGTTTCTCCAAAACCAAAACTAGAACTACCGTAGAACCCAACTGTATCTCCTCTGGGTGCTTACCCAGAAGATTCCAAGTCAACATGCAACCGAGATATTTGCACAACCTCGTTTTTGCTACTCTGTTCATAATATCTAAGCCGTGGGACCAGCCTGGACATCTACTCACCCACGAGTAGATAAAGAATATATGGCTAATATACACTGTGGGGTTTATTTATCCATGACAAAAGAAAAATGAAGTCATAGCATTTCAGCATCTTCAGGAACGAAGATGGAGTAGGAGTTGGTGGTAAGCAAAATAAACTGGACAAATCAGATTCATGTTTACTCAGATATGTGGAATCTAGATTTAAATGTGTGTGTGTGTGTGTATAAGTGTGTATAAGTGTGTATGCGTGCATGTGTGAGTGTTTGCATGTATGTATGTGTGTATGGTTGTATGTGTAATGTGTAGGTCTGTGGGGGGAAAGTTTGTGTGTGTGGTTTGCGTGTATGTATGTGTATATGTGTGTTTGTGTGTATGTGTGTATATTGTATGTGCATTTGTATGTGTGTGTGCTTGCTTGCTTATGCATGTGTGTTGGGGTATGACATGAAAATAGAAAGGGAACCACAGGAAAAAAGATATGTTAAGGAAAATGGGATAGTGAAATCGCTCTGTTACGAAAGCAAGAAGGAAGACTATTTGTGGGGGAGGAAGTGGACCAGAAAAATGAAGTAAAGGGCAAAAGGGAAGAGGATGAATAAGAATAAAGTATAAGCACATAAAAATGCTACAAAATCCATTACTTTGTGTGCTAACTTAAAAGACTAATAAAGTTTGAAAAGAGGAGTGACTTTGAAGAGTTTACGAGTGTATGTTTGTGAGAGTGTGTGTGTTTGTGTGTGATTCTGGTTGTTTTGTGTTGGTGCATCTCCTCTTGGGTTGTCTGTATCACATTCCCAGGACATTTAGCAGTACCTAGGCACATGTTGGTTTGTAAAAGCTTGGAGGCTGATATTAGCATTTTGTGGGTGAAGACCAGGGATCCTGGCATCTGAACATCCAATGCCCAGGATGGACCCCAAAATGAGCAAAGACTGACAGAGTTCCAAGTGGCAGTGGAGCTCTGACTGAGATGTAAGGGCGTGTGTATGTGTGTATCTGAACTAAATGAAAATGAAGTTGAGATATGATGTCATCTAACTTTCTAGTTACATCATGTAAGAAAACTCAGAAGAGTTTCCAGAGATGGAATTTAAAGAGGAAAAACCAAGCACGAGAATGCTAGAGCACTACATAGGAGGTAAGGGGATGCCAGGCTGTGAGGAGAAAGAGAAATCAATGGGAAAACCTGATTGAGTTGTTGGTCACATCTGGGTCCTTGGCAGAAATGATCTGTATGGTTGTTCCAATTGTCACATCCTCTGGCACCTCCACAAAATAAAAGCCTGGTTCAAACACAGGGGGCTCGTCCACATCCTCCACACTAATGTGCACTGTTGTTGTGTCCTGAAATGGGCCAAGGTTCAGAAAACGCATCTCTAGGTGAGGATTGGATCCTTCCACCTTCAGGGTGTAGCTTTTCTTGCTTTCAAAACTCAGGGGCTGAAAGGCAACAAGAAGAAAACTGGTCAGCCCATAGCGTACGTGCACTGAGTGAAAAGAACATCCAACACTGAAGGTTAGTAGAGAAACCCCAAATTCACAAAAAATGTGGAAAAGAAAAAAAAAGGTAAAAACAGGACCACCTTTTGTCTTGTTCTGGGTGATAACATCAGTTCAGTCATAGGTAAAAAGGAAGGATGGTGTCTGGAAGGCTCAGTTTTAACTCCTTTGACTTTACCCAGCATGGTCTGTAGAGAGAGTATGGGGAACCTCCTTGTCTTGACAGAATTGTAAGAAGGGAATTTGTTTCTCCAGAATCCGTGGCCTTGTGTTTTGTTTTTTTCTTTTGGAAAGATGTTGGACAATTAAGATCAAGTTTGTGTTCTGTCCTAGGATGTCCGTGCAATTAGTTATAGGATTTTGTTTGCCTCTTGAATTTCTTTCAAGGGGAACCATTTTGGGGGAGGACTGTGACTAGGGAGAGTGGAGGAGGAATGGAGTAGGATGGAGGGGAGTGAATGTGAGCAAGTATAATGATATAGAGTTTACAAAAATTATAGGGAAACCCTTCACTTTGTATGCTGGGTTAAAAACATAATAGACTAGGTTTTTTCTTGACTTTCAAAGCAACAGTGATTCTTGCTAAGGAAATAGCACATCAACCTAAGTTTCTTTAGTTTATATAGATGGTCCCTTTTAAACTTCACTTTAAAATTCTGTTCAACTTAAAATTTTAAAGATTTTGAGAGCTCAGAAGACAGGGCTAAGGTGGCAAAGGTTCATAGTGCCAGCTAAGATGCTGATCCAAACTTCTTTGACCAGGACTCATGCACAAGAAATTAGTTTTGTCTATTATGATTCCATATTATAAATTATAAAATTGAGAGAGTAGAGAGATGGTTTAGTGGTTAAGAGTGATTGCTGCTCTTTTAGAGGTCCCATGTTCCATTCGCAGCACCCATGCAGCGAGGGTAAGTTTTGATTACAAAACTTCTGTGTATTTTCTTTCTTCAGATTCGGGGTCAAAAGCAAGGACTCAGTGGGGTTTTTATTCCCCAATGTGTAGCAAGGCCAAACACACAACATGTAGTAAAAAAAAAAAAAAAGTATTTCATTAAATAGTGCCACGAACTTTTATGTGTTAACACTTATGTGATGGCATAAAAGGATTTGGTGTTAATTGTTTTGGGGGTGTGTGGTGTGTAGGTTCTTTTGCATCTTATACTTTTGGAGCACAGCTGTTTTCTAACTGATGCTACATTGCAATTGCTGTGTACTTATCAGGTGTTAAGTTCCAGATGTTAGTGCCCCTGCAAGTCGCATCTAGTCAACAGCATTAGTGCTGGGCTTGATATTGGTACTACATGTACTGAAATTTATTGTTATCTAAAATGGCTTCTGAAAGGTTATATCCTTGGAAGGTCACTGAAACACCAGCAGGGAGTGAATCTGATACAGGCAAGGCAGACGTGTTCAACTGTGCCTCTAAGGGAGCTCTTCAAATAATTACAAACAACGCATTGGATCACGTCAAGCTGGAAAATTTTAAGTGGTATATAAAGTAATGATGAGAATTGCAAATCATGATCAATTAGAATAAGAAAAGTATAGAGTTTTTGTGTTTTGTGACCTGCCTAAGAGAATGGACCGACAATTACTTATTGTCCACTGGCAGACAGAAGCTAAGCTGAAGACTAGAAAATGGCACACTGTTATGCTACTACACAACAAAGAACACTCTGAAAATTACATATTTCAAGCATTTAAGAGACTGAAAATCAATTATCTGATTACTTAAAAGCTAAAATGACACACAGTCCTGTGTAGCAATCACCGTGGCTCTATGAAGACCTGAGTCCTTCAAATCGACTTAATTTCTCTTTTTGAAAAGTATGTGCTTTTTAAGACAAATAATAGACCTAAGAGAAATAAATCAAAAGCAAAACTTTTGTTTCAATTTTATATGACATTATTAATGACAAGGGAAGCTGATGGGTCTGGGAGCTGTTCCAGACATATGAACTGAGCAGTCAGTAGCCTTTAAAATATTTATTATATGTGACTAGTCCATCTACCCAATGTATTGGCCTTATTCTTAATTATATTTTCTGGCAGCTCATATGTTCAGAAAAAGAATAAAAACAGTCTAAGAAAAATTGATGTATGTTTTGATTGATTGAATGTATATACAATTTGGATAGTGACATTGAGAGACAAGGTTCTGGCTTGCAATGTCAATTTTTTTTCAGATACAGGAGGCGAGAAAAGAAAGTTTTAGTTTACTCAAATTATAGTATTAATAAGTGTTTTAAAACATGAATGCTTGTAATGATATCTAATGTATATAATAATAATTTAATATAAATCACTATTGTTTATTATTTAGAGAATTTTTTCCAGTGAAATTAACTAATCAGCCTTTAGAAAGGCTCCAATTTATAATTGGTATGTTTTTCTAATGGACTTCTTTTGTATTCAAGAAACAATATTTATTCAAAACTTTGGGCATTGTCTAGTGATGGTTAGTGGTGTGTTACTGTTTAGTTGAAGATGCTTTTAATTCTTTCTCATGCAATAAATTGGTTTTATTTTCTCCCCTATAAAGTTACTATATTATTAACTTTCAAAAATAATGAATTGTAATGTTTTAATTATATAAATGTGTTTGAGGATTTATAAGTCAGTTTTAGCATTTTGTACTCTTTCAAGGTCATTGTTTGCTGGCCCTGAGGACTTCTGGTTGGATGAATTTGGCATAAATATGTTTCCTTGCTGTGCTGTATTTTTTTCTGCTGTGATCCTAACGTGGCTGGCTTTGGTTCAGGTAGGAGGTTTCTGAGGTTCTGTCCTTTGGACACTTATTTATTGATTTGTGAATGAAAAGGGAAAGGGTGATTCCAATTTAGTAACTACCCAGGGTTGCTGGGGTCCTCCCATCAGCCATGCAAGGGGCTGTTTGGATAATGTTCCAGGCAGGAGGATGGTGTTTGAAGACAAGGGAGATTACTACCAGAGGTTATCTGTGTAGTAGCTTGGATAAGGTCTCCGAGTAGACCGCAGTAGGGTAGGGCTAGGAGATCTTAACACAGATGACATGAGTGTGTGTCTGCTTGGGAAGTCTCTGGAGAGGTGGCAGGATAGAGTCACCAGTGGCCCTAGGGAAGAGCATGGCTTTTGAGAAGTTCACGACTGCTTGGGAAGAATCCCGGGGCAGTGATGGGGTGGATTGGGGAGTCTTACCATGGGCACCAGGTGTGAGCAGCTGCCTGAGCAAGGTTACTGCAGAAAGCAGGGTGAGGTTGTGATAACCAATGTTTTATAACTTAATGTTTTAAATTGAATATTCATTTATAAGTTATTAGATTCAATTTATTTGTGTGTGTGTGTTATATATGCATATGTGTTTACATGTTTATGTGTGTGTGTACAGGCCCAAAGTTGACTACATGTGTCTTTGCTCTTTTCTATATTTTTTCACTTAAGGTCTCTCATTGAACCTGGATTCCCCAAGACTCTGAATGAATTTTTAAATTTTTTGTAATTTTAAATTCCATGCTAGGATTAAAGACAAGCTGTCACAATTGCTCACTTTTCAAGTGGGATCTGGGAACTCTGGTCCTCACACTTGTTTTATCCGCTGATCCAGCTCCTTAGGTCATAAACTCTGCCTTTTTAAAGGCTAATCAGGTTTAGGAGTTGACTTAGTCACTAAAGTTACCTGTCTCACAAGCATGAGGACTTGAGTTGGATCCGAAGCACCTATGTGAAAGCCAGGCACTGTGCACATGTGTAACACCAGTGCTACAGAGGCAGAGGGTGATTCCCAAGGCATGTTTGTCAACTTCTTTCCTCCACATGCATCTGGACAAATGTACATGTGCACAAACATACGTACACACATACATATATTGCACACGTGCAAAAAAAATTAAAATAGGAAAATTTTACCTTTCATTTACTGAATTTATCCATATGTGCTTTAGGGAACATAGAACCTTATGATGGAACAAAGAAGTTTTGTGTTTGATGATAGTTTTTCATTGGCATTTATGGGTCTTCAAGAAGCGATTAAAAAGTGCTATGAGTTATTTATTAATTCATAATAATATTATAGCTTGCTTTGCTATTTATGGCAAACTGATGTAAAGGTGTGGGTTTCAAGTATTGACTAAGTCATTAACAACATTAGAGCATCAAGCTATTACAGGCTTTAAGTGGCTAAATTGAAGTGGCTCATTCATAATATATTTTTAATAATCCTTTTTATAAAATAATGCCACAGCCAGCATTTTTGCATATATAACCAAGCATTAAGTGGTGTTTTTAAACCTAATTAGAAAGAATTATTTTTAAGTGTGTGTGTGTGTGTGTGTGTGCACATGCACACGCACTCGTGTACATATGTATAATGTGTATGAATTCCGGTACAACACCTATGTCACGTTGCAATTTGGAGGTCAATAGGAAAGCTGATTCTCTCCTAGCAATGTTGACTCTAGGCTGCCAGATTTTTGTGGAAAGTACTTTTACCTGCTGAAACATCTCTTGGAAAGACATTCTATCAGAGGACTTGAAATAAAATATATCCTAATATACAACCACCCTTCACTATAATTTCACATGCAAAGTATCTTTGAAAATTATTTGGAAAAAGTAAACTGGATTACCTTCTTCACCGTTATGATGCCAACTTGGAAGTTTGGGTCTGTGTTAATATCAAAAGCGTCTGCACCGTCTCCATCCACGATGGTGTACTTCATCTCTGCATTGATTCCTTCATCTAGGTCCTTGGCAAACACTCTCCCCACAGTGGAGCTAACTGGAGCAGATTCTAGCACACTCATCTGATAATGTTCTGTGAAGAAAAGCAGGGACGTGCGTTCTTGATAATCTGCCACAAAACCACACCTGTTATCACCTTATACCAGGCATTCCATGCAAAACATCGGTCATGGTTTATAAGCTAAAGCTTAAGGAAGCTCTACAGTTTAAATTCTCGATCCAGAGTGTTGAACTCTGAGCCTAAGAATAAGGCAGGCAAAAAGACAAGATGAAACTCTTCATTGTAATCCTTCTTCCTTCAGAGTAAGTGAGAAGCACATTGCTTCCTCATCTTTACTATGCTATTCTTTCCAAATATCACATTTTCCCTGGGAAACATGATCACAAAGAACGTATTTATTCTGACAAATTTCATTTCCCTTCATGTTCTGGATGGTGTGCTGAAGTCCCATATCTGGCCAGCGGTCCAGAGTGGACGGAAACCAGTAATGCATAGAGGAGAAGCACTCCACAAGAAAGCCTTGTGAGCTCCACGTGTGGTCCACCAACATGGTTTTATAGCTGAGACCCTCTACATGGCTCAGTGTGGGCATTTTGTTCTAGTTCTAAAACCGAGTACCCAAACCAGATTCCACACATAGAAGACGCTCAGCCTTGTGAATGCCTTCCTTTTTGAATTGATGCCCTGACTTACCATTTCTTTTTTAGGTTTATTCTCACCTTTGTGAAGTTGTTCGCTAACTTACTTTGTAAAGGCTCATGTGTTTGACATCCTCATTTTATCAATCATGGGCTGGCTTACTACATAACAAAGCCATACACATTTCAATATGGTTTGGTTTCTTATTTTGAATTAATTAATTAATTAGTTAATTCATTAGTTTTTGTGTGTATATGTGTGTGCTGCATGAGTTTTGTGTATCAGGTACCTACAGATTCCTGCAGTGTTCAGAGGATCCACTGGAACTGGAGTTATAGGTGGGCTGAGAGCTACTTGATATGGGTGTTGGGAACTGAACCTGGGTCTTCTGCAAGAGCGGTAAGCACTCTCTTTATTGTAAACTAGAAAGAGGCCTGAAGTTCAGGAGCTTATGTCTTACAAAAATTCTGGGGAGCTGACAGCTTACTGTTCTCCACCTTTCACAGGAGACGAAATAATGTTTTTTTATTGTTTTTATTTTATATATTTTTTATTGTTTTTATTTTATATATTTTTTTTTATAAATATAAGCCAGAGAATCTCCAGTATGCCTATGCAAAGTTAAAGTTATCAGTGGGTTACATTTTTTTTTCCAGAAAGTTTAGAAAAAAACATGCATCTGTCTATAATTTTCTCCTCAGAGAAAAAACAATGCTATGTATTTAAATATAGTTGTAATTTCTACATGCAATGCTTTGCATTAGAAACAAATATCTTGAGATCATAATATTCTTTTATATTTGATTCAGCTGAAGGCAACTAAGCTTGTTCACTATAAAAGGGTAGGCATACCATTCTGTTAACATCCCATAGGTAGGTATGGCAATATTTGTGGGAAAGAAACTCAGTGAGTTCCTACAACAAGGAGTCAAAAGAATATTAGAACAGAAGCATTTAATCCAAGATAAAGTTAAAGAATACTGAAATTACTAAAATTTAGTATTCATAACCCAGACTGGCTTTGCTCCCTGCCCAGGTGACAATCAATTCAGCATTCACAAATAAATGTTTTTTTTCATAAATTTATGGCGATTTTAAGTAATTTTTTGAAAGGTGCAACATTACTCTATTTTAGTGGAAACAGTGTGAATGTGAGAATGTTTAGAAAATGAATTTAAATTACTTCAAATCATTCTATTTTGTCTTCTATGAAATATATTCCATACTTCAGCCCATCCTGATTTTTTTTAATTGTTACTAAATTCGAAACAGATTGTACTCAAGGTGGATGTGTCAGAATGGTCGGTGTTACAAGTTTTGATTTTTGGGTGAGACAAATGCCCCAGTCCCCACTGGGTTGCATAATGTCCTAGAGAAGCTGTCATCTGTGGAGGAGGGACATGAGATTTACCCCTAAGTGTCCAGATCCTTATACTTTTGACCTGTCTGTGTAAGTGCTTGGCTTTTCTGTTCCCCTACTCACTTTCATTAAGAATACCTGTTTTGTGTCAAAATTTAAAAGTCCAGTAGTTCCAAGTATCCAAGAATCCACAGTGTACACAATAGGAGGACTTTGTGAACTACAATGGAACTCACAGGGTCAGTAACGCTGTACCAATCATGCCACATGACCACTCACAGACTCTTCCTTGATTCGCTGCATCTATATTGGTGGACTAGTCAACTTAGCCACTTACTCATGTGCAGAATTTGTAAAATGCTTGCCTGTCATTCTACTGCTTTTTTCTTTCATGAATGACCATGGCGATTTTGCGTATAGCAGTTTCACATGACTACTTGAGCCCTCTTTATTAACATAAACTAAATAAGAGAGTCTTTTGGTCTGACTGGTTCAAAGTGCAAGCTATTAAGCTAATAGTCTGGCTTCATTCTGTTTAGTGTGTGTGTGTTTAGTGTGTGTGTGTGTGTGTGTATGTGTGTGTGTGTGTGTGTGTGGTGTTCTTGTGGACATGTGAGTACTTGTGTGTAGAAGCCATTAGTAAGCCTTCTGTGTTGTTCCTTAGGTGCTTTTTGCTTTATTTGGCAACAGGGCTTCTCACTGGCTGACCAGGGAATCCCAGGGATCTACTCTTCTGATATCCGAGCATTGGGACTACAAAAGGGTACCAGCACTCTTGGCATGCAATTCTAGGGATTGAACTGGGGTCCTCGTGCTCACTCACAATCCAAGCCCTGGACTGACTGTGTTATCTCCTCATCTCCATTTTGTTTGTGTTTTTCCTTGTTCCTGGATAAGTGTCCAACCTGGAGTTGGGACTGCCATTTTAACATCTCCAGTTTTCTCCCTTCAGGCATTCAGTTTCCAAAATCATACCTCCATTCTTGAGCTTTGCTTTACTGTCTTGGTCCTGTGTCTCCACCTCCCTTAAGGACACTCAACTTGATTGTTTTATTGTCACTTCCTACTCAAATCTGAATTAGTCTTGCCCCTACCTGCCACTAGTTCCTTTATGTATCTTCTGTTCTGTCAGCAGTGCCATCCTTCCCTCTGCCACCTAGACTAAAAATGTTGTCATCTTTGACTCCCTCCACTCTCAGCCGTGGTGTCATTCCTCTAGCCAGGAGTCCATCTCCCCCCTCCCTCCTCCTCCTCCTCCTCCTCCTCCTCCTCCTCCTCCTCCTCCTCTTCCTCTTCCTCCTCCCCCTCCTCCTTCCCCTCCTCCCCCTCCCCCTCCCTCCCCCCCCCCTCTGCTTCCTGAATTTAATTCTCTCTCTTTCTCTCTGCTTCCTGAATTTAATTTTCTACCCAGATGACCTCTGATACAGCAAAGATTTTGTTGGCTTTGCTCAGGGCTGTACATTTCATGTCTAGATGGTGTCTTGAATTGATAGTGCTTTAACAAATGTGACTTCTTCATCCTGGCACATTTCCTTCTCTGCTGGTGTAAATCTTTGCTATTCTTCAAACTTCTGTTTAAATTTCATTACCCTGTGAAGCCTTTATTCACTGCCATTTTTAGAGAAGAAGAAGGCAACTTGTGTGCATGCATTTTCACAAACTATTCCACAATACTTTAGTTTTTCCAAGCTGTAGGCTTAGTCAACATAAGATTCTTAATTTGCACCATTTGTGAATCTCTCAGTGGCACATCAAGAATTCTGTATTGCTTTTCCTTTATAAATAGAATGTGTGCTCCTGGCTAGATTTTAGGCTTTGAGCGGCAGGTCTAGTGTCTTGTGTTTCTTGTGCCTGGGATCCTTATAGATCATGTACTACTTGGCACCTATTTGCATATTGCTTGGTTAATGTGGTCAGATGGTGGTGTGTTCAGCTACAGCTCTGGCTGTTTCAGGAAACGTGTTTTGAACTAAATTCCCATGAAAAAAATCACCTTGAAGATGAACTCTTAATGGAGAGTTAGTGCTTAATGACCAAGCCTACTCATGATAATGATTTGTTGTCCACAAATGTTTAATCCTACCTGAAAAAATCCTAATCTTAGTGTTAGTGAAATTATAATTTCGTGTAGGCGTGTGCGTGTGGCCATCGGGTGAAAACAAACACCCCTCTAAGTGCCATAGGAAGCTGAAGGCCAGAAGGAAGGGCTGTATGATTTTTAACACAAACTGACCTTACACTTGAATCTCAGTAAAGGGTGGGTCCGTCTGGCTGAGGTATGCTCTGGTTGGTACTTACTCTGTGGAAATCGGGGTGGGTTATCATTGACGTCTGAGAGGGTGATGTTGACTGTTGTAGTTCCAGCCAAGCCTCCAAGTTGCCCTCCCATATCCTTGGCTTGGATAATCACTTCATAGTATTCCTTGGCTTCTCTGTCCATGTTCATGAGCGCTGTTCTGATTACACCTGCAGGATAGAAATTGTCTTAAAAAATAAAACCACATGGCTAGTTTTGTGAGAGTTTGTTTGTATGTCTTTCTCATGTGCTGTAAATACCTAACACTGAGATGCATATCACCTGTTTTTATTAAACTTCAGGTTCAAAATTCCAGCTTCAGAAAGGCACTGTATAAAACAAAGCACCAAGAAACAGACACCCAGCAGGAAGGGCCCGGAGGTTGGAGGCCTTGTCAATGTTACTGAGGCAGAACAGGAGGTGGCAGCAGCGGTTTTCTTACAGACTCCAGGAATTGCAGTCTGTGGTGATTATACACTGTTCTGTCTTTACCAAAGAAAACCTGGGCTTTGAGTCCAGAAAACAAAGTGTCTTGTGTCTACAAGTCTGTGATTTTAGGTAATCCTCCTTCAGCTCTTTCTGCCTACAGCCCTAGAGCTCCTGTAGTGTGAAAGACTCTTTAGATACTGGCTCCTAGTATGAACTCCCTGTCTCTCCTCTGCCTGGAAGTAGCGATGGCTATCCTGTGTTTGCAGTCACTGTTTTATTTTCTTCTGCTGACTTCTGTGCTTTACTGAGCTCCTTGAGTAGGAAGGGACACTAGAGGCTCAGGGTGTGTTGTGCTATCTTTACCATGCGTAAGAGATGAACTTCTCTAGGCAGTTCAGGGCAGAAGCACAGCATAGGTATGGTGACAGGATATCATTTAAGAAGAGGGGTCTACCACAGTCTAACCTTAGGTGGAGCTTGGGGAATCTTGGGGGAGATGAGGAGGAAGGACTGTAGGAGCCAGAGGGATCAAGAACAGCACAAGAAAACCTACAGAATCAACTATCCTGGGCCCACAGGGGCTCACAGATCCCGAACTGCTAACCAGGAAAACTGAATGGGATGGACCTAGGCCCTCTGCACAAGTTAGAGTCATGTAGCTTCATCTTCAACTAGGACTCCTAACACTGGGATCAGGGGCTGTCTCTGACTCTGTTGCTTGCCTTTGGGGCCCTTTTCTCTTACTGGGCTGTCTCATGTAGTCTCAATAGAAAATGAAGTGCCTAGTCCTACTTCAATTTAATGTGCCAGGGAGGTTGATATGGCCTCCCCTTTTCTGAAGAAAAATGGAGTGGCTGGAGGGGAGGGGAGGTGGGATAGGGGAGGTAGTGGGGAAGGACTGGGAGGAGAAGAGGGAGGGGAAATTGCATTCAGGATGTAAAGTAAATAAATAAACTAATTAAAAATAATAGAATAAGAAGAGGGCTCTAAACCAGATGCACAAAAATGTAGGATTCTGATCCAGCCAGGGATGTGTAGAGATTCCGTTCTCCTTTTTCTCCTTCAGCTCAGAAACAATGTCTTTCATACACTTGAAGGGAAGATAACAGGTATATTGTGACAGATTTACAATATAACCTGTAGTGTGTGAGAACAAGACTTTGGCTGAGTTTCTTCCTATGATCTATGTACTGTAGTCACTGGGACCGTTCAAAATGGTATTTGAGGCATTTTCTTTTTGTGAATGCCTCTTGGCCAAAGCAATGGCAGTCTTTTCATGTATCTTTGACCTCAGCTCTGTAGATGCTCCTCCTGGGAACTGTCAGAGTAATGTAAAAATACTCCTGAGGATAGAAAGGACACGTAACCGTGAACCTGCCTGTAGTTTTCTTCCCCTCGGCATCTCTTCATTCCTCCTCCACTTCCTTTCCCCAGGAGTAGAATTATTGATGTTTTATAGATATCCTTAACTGCAATCCTTTCTCTTTCCTTCCACTAATTTATATTCTCTCACTTTCTACCTTTATGGTAGCATTTTCTTAGTACATGGCTGCCTTGATGACTTCTAGGGGAAAATCAAGTTAGTTATAATAGAGATATATTTATTTTCTCTTTAGAATAAAGAAGTGACTTTTGACTGTTCACCAGTGACTTTACCTCTGTGTTTTTTTTTTTTTTCCTCAAAGTCCTTCTCCTAGGTCTATTTTCCCTGTGTAAAATTGGGGTAATAGCACTTCCTAAATATTTACTGGTAAATGTTTACAAAAGTTCTTGGAGAAGGAGAAATCCTAGCACAAGTGCAAGACAGCAATGATACAGTAATTATTCTGCCCAACAGAGAAACTTAAGTAGATTTCCCTGGTGTATTAAAACATGAATCCTGTAGTCAAAGTTTCTTGAAACAGGTGAAGCCCCCAGGTTCCTCTGGTGTTTCCTTTCCAGGCATGATGCTTTTTATCAGTTCAGGACTCTTTGCTCTCTTCCCTTGTTAGAGTGACCTTCACGAGGTTCTACCTTTTTTTTAGGGGCCGTATTCATGTGCTATTGCCACTCACATTGAAATCTGCCTGCCCAACCTAGGGTTCTGCTTAGCAGATGTTGTCTCAGTAGAGATAATATTACGAGTATATTGATAACCACAGGAGCTTGGCGAGCACCTAACTTCTCAGTTTTCTCATCTGAGTTTAATCCTAGTGACTGTGGGCTGCGTGATTACCCAGAAGGCTCTTTCTGGTTTCAGAATCTGTGCTTCTAGCTGTAGAGCAAGCCTTGGAGAACATGGCGATCTTCTTTGGCCTTTCTGAAGTTATAGAAGACCTTGAACCTTGGTAAATAACTTGGAAGTTTTGGAAGGCAGAAAGGAGGTAGAAATGACACCACTGGAGACCTCCATGCCATTCAGAGGCTTTGGGTCGACAGGGCTTTCGTGTCTCTCAGCAAGCCACTCACACTGTCTCACCCACTGGCAATTATACTGTGTGCTCCTAATCCTAAAGATTGTGACCATATCTTCTTTGTGTCACATGCTTCCTGGAGAGTCTTTGACAAAAAGAGTTGGGTCTGTTCTAAGTAGGAAACACAGGGATTGAACAAGCAAACACTTCTGACTTGATTCTTATACTATTTACCTGTTTTGGAGTCCACAGAAAAATATGGCTGGCCCTGGAGAATGCTGTAAACTACCCGGGCACTGTTGCCATAGGTTGGGTCATCAGCATCTGTGGCTGTCACTTGGATAACAGAGGTACCTGAGGGAAAGAAATGGGAGAAACCTGTTGAAGCTCAGTTAAGAAAAGCTGGTATAATCCTGCATGGTCAACCTTAAAACGTTTTACAGATGTTGCTTGCTTCTCTGGCAGATTTCCCTTTTTTGATCAAGATTCCATAACTCCTCTTTTGTTATTCAGTAGGGATGATAGTCATTTGTGTTAAATTCTTAGTAGCCAGCAAGAGTAACACTGCCTAGGTAGTCTTCTTGTAGTCTTCTTCATTTGTTGGTAATGACAATATTTACCTTAACAATCTAACCTAACCGAGTACGATATGATCTATGATGCTTAAAAACTCAGAAGTGGAGGCATCGGAAGATTATTATTTAATGAGGCTACTTCTGGTATTTCCATAGCTTCCTACCTGCTGAAGGAGTTGGTAGTCATTTTAGTATCCCTGTTGTGATTCCTGCACTGTTTCTCCTCTATGTGCACATAGTAGGACCTCCTACAGTGCATCTACTATTGGTGTAAAATGAGCTCATCCCCACCTTACCTACTGGTGACATTTCTGGCACAGTGGCAACATAAGGTCCATCCAGGAACTTGGGCTCGTTGTCATTGATATCTTGAATTTTGATAATGAACTCTGATTCTGGCTCCATTGGCCGGCCTGTTCTCCTGTCTAGGGCTTGAGCCCTTAGAGTATATTGGGCTCTTTCTTCTCGGTCGAGCCTCTGAATGGCATGGATGTCTCCAGTGGTGTCATCGATGGTAAATACGATGCCTGCTCCTTCTCCTGAAAGGATGTATTTGATAGATCCATCTCCCCTGTCCATGTCTGAATGAAGCTGGGGACAAAAAGGACTGAAATCATTATTGATGTGCACAGGTGTTGGAAATAATTGATTTTCACTTTGGAATAGACTTAAGACCTCTCTTTACATGGGAATGTTCTTTCCCCTTTAGTGTTTAGGAAGTCTGTCTGTCTGTAAAGAACCAACATGATTTGAGATGATGGGTAAAGGGTAATACAGGAAGTTTTTTATGTCATATTCTTAGGATATTAATATATAATATGATATTATTAATTTAATACTTTAAAATGATTGTTCTTGAGGAGCCTAGAAGACAACTATAGAAACAGAAGCAAATTTATTGCGAAAGATTGTCCTTTTATTCAAGAAATAAAGTCAACAGGCAAGTTTAAATATCATAAAGTTAAAAATGAGTGGTGGCATATACTTTAATCTCAGCATTTAAGGGCAGAAGCAGGCAGGTCTCTAAGTTTGAGGGTAACCTGATCTTCGGAGTAAGTTTTAGGGAAGCCAGGACTACACAGAGAAACCTTGCTTTGAAAAACAAAACAAAGAAGGTCTCATGTGTGAGACCATTTCCTAGTTTCCTATATAAGGCTGTGTTTATGTTTCAGGTGTGAAGTGAGCTTCCAGTACGGATTGTGTGCATGTGTGCCTTGGTAGGACTCATTCGGGTTTAATTGATTCACTAAGGTCCATGTGTGGATGGTTGAGTTAGGGACATGCTTCTCTGCTCATCCAACTCTATTTTCTAAGACTTTTTAAAAATAATTTTATTTTGTTTTTATGTGTATGGGTGTTTTGTCTATGTGTATGTCTCTGTACTGCTTTTGTGCCTAAATGCCCGCAAAAGCTATAAGAGAGCATTGAATCTCCTGGAACTGGAGTTACAGATGGCTGTGTGCTATCCTGTATATGGTAGAAATCACACCAAGGTCCTGTGAAAGAGCAGCTGGTATTCTTAACTACTGGTCAATGTCTCCAGCCACATCACCTCACACTCCACTGTAATAATTTCTGTAAGATGTCTGGAAGCACAATTTTACCTCAGCCTAGAAACATATCTGACTTGATAACTGCACATAATGCAAATGGGCAGCACGAGTGTTTGAGGTTTTCAAAAGAACCAGCGCAAACGTTAAGTTTAGTTAGTACTTCTAATTTTGTTGCTGTTTTCATCACTTGCATACTTAAGTACCAAAATTCCAAAGATTAAGTCAATAGACAGATAGCAAGTGTTATGCTTAATGCTACAAGCCCAACATATCTGACCTGAATTTGTTCTGTGTCAGTTATCAACTGAGTGTCCTTGACAAGAGTAAATATACTGATTAAACCCTTAATTTTCTTATATTATGAATGGAGAGTAGCATTAATGCTTGTTTCAAAGGGTTGCAGAGATCATTAGGTATTAATGTATGTAAAGTACAGAGGACTGTTTCTTTCCCATAGTAGGAAAGCTATAAATGGAGCCAATTATGGTGATGATATATGAGGTACCTGCAGAGAGAAAGGATATTAACATACCCATCTTTTATCTGCCCACTTAAGCCTCCAGGAGTAAAACTAAGCTAAAGACATTGTTGTAACTCCAGCTTCAGGGGAATCAATGCTCTTTCTGGCCTCAGCAGTCATTGTGATCAGAAATACTCATGTGTATGTGCACATATTCACACACACCCACACACAACCACATC